TATTTCTAACTTTACCCTCATTATTTATATTAATAAACAAATAAATAATTTAACAAAATAAAAAAAATATTAGTGACCTTAAGCTAGTCATCATAACGGGGCCTTGAAAACTCCTCAGTCCTCACAATGCACACAAAAGAAACAATTTTTTTTTTCTCTCTTTTTAAAAGATGAAAAATGGGATCTTGTCATCATCATTAATCATGGGGGTTGCTTCACTAGGGATGGCAACGGATCTTACAGGGCAGGGACCCCCTCCCCATTCTCATCTCTATCAATGGTTGGTACAAAGATCTCTATAGGGATTTTTGGTAGAGGATCAAAAATAGCCTCTGTCTCCATATCCGCGAGGAATGATAGGTTCCTAGAGTATTCGAAGTCCTCGCCAAATAAAGTTATCACCTGCTCTACTGCTTGTTAATCAAAATTTTCGCTGCTTGTTAATCAAAATTAAGTTCAACATGAGTCTACTTAGACTTCACTAATTTCACATTCATCAACTAAAACTAGCTCAAATAATCATATAAAGTAAAATTTGAAACAAGACAAACAAGCACTAAATATACACAACCAATATATACATGTCAAGCAAGTCTAGCAAGTCAGCAACAAGTTCGTAAAGAAAAAAAAGGCTTAAATTGCCATATAAGTCCAGTAAATCTAGCAATAGATTCATAAAAAAAGGAGCATAAATTGTAACTATCACATAGGTCTAAATTTAGCAAAGTTCATAGAAAAAAATGCATAAACTACTACCATAGATGTCTAGCAATAAGTTCATTAAGAAAATGAGCATAAAAGAGTCTAGTAAGTGGCACATGCGTATAGATCCATCTAATTCAATTAGGCAAACTCTGTAGCAGCAACTTAAACTAAACTTGATTGATAATTTCAAGTTGAGGAAATAACTTCTTGAAACAAAAACAAGTACCATAAGTTAACAATATTTTAGAAAAAATTCTTTGTATTAGATTGAAGAATAGAAACAAAGCTATGGCTTTTTGAATGTTGCCGAGAATGATAAGTTGAAGGGAATTGACTAATTAAAGAATAGAAACAAAGCCAATGAGCTACAACGCAGTCTGCATAGAGGAGAGGAGACTAGAGTCTGGAGTCTGGAGTCTGGAGAGGATGAAGAATTGTAGTTTATAGATTTACAGATCTGAAATCTATCTATGGGTAGTAGTCCTTCTAGTTCTAGAGTTACTACTTATGCAAATTGGGTTAGACTTGGGCAATTAAGTTTAGGAAGACTATGGGTTGAACTGGACTGTATAATTGGGTTTGCAAAAACTGAAAAAAGAATGGTAAATAAGTAAAAATTAATTATTAATATATAAATGAGTTTATATTTTTTTTTATTTTATATGTATCTCCACGATTCCCCATGGGACTAAAGAAATTTTCCATGACATTTTACAGAGAAAAAAATGCCTTCATTCTCGCCAAGGAAAGGAATATTTTTAGAATCTCTATTTCTGTAATGGGGATATCCACGAACCTTAGCGGGTCGTGTAGGAAATTGCCATCCCTATGCTTTACCCCCTCGCAAGTGACTGCCGGAAAGGGTTGGGCCGTATGTGCCACCACCTTCTAGTTCTAGAGTTACTACTTACTAATTCAAATTGGGTTAGGCCTAAGCAATTAAGTTTAGGAAGACTATGGGCTAGGCTGAACTGGAATGTATAATTGGGTTTGCAAAAACTGAAAAAAGAATGAATTGGTCAGTTAAGTAGATTGAATAAGTAAAAATTAATTGTTAATATATTTAAAATATATATATTTGCATATTTGAAATCTATCTATGGGTAATAGTCCTTCTAGTTTTAGAGTTACTACTTCCTAATGCAAATTCGGTTAGGCTTGAGCAATTAAGTTTAGGAGGACTATGGGCTAGGCTGGACCAGAATGTATAATTGGATTTGCAAAAATTGAAAAAAGAATTGATTGGTCAATTAATTAGGTTGAATAAATAAAAGTTAATTGATAATATATTTAAAATATATATAAAAATA